TAGGCTGTCGTCTTCATCTTCTGACTCGGAGCCCTCGGCAAATAACCCGGGAAAATCATCCATAGAATACGATGCCGCGTCACCGAAGAAGTCACCAACAAACGGCCGCGGTGAGTACGAACCATGATCACTTGGTGGCGGAAGAGTAGGCTCATTGTCGTCAACTTCCATGACGAACGGCGCATCGGGTCTGACAAGAAACGGCTGTGATGCCGACAAAATGCCTTGATTGGCTATTCGGCATGCCAGGTTCTCGCTTTGCCAGACATGCACACTGTATCCAGTGCGGGTAAAAGGCTTGTGACAGCCAGAGCATATTGTGAAGGCCATGGAAGCTAATGGTACGTCAAGGAGAGGTTTTGTCATGTCAGCTGTAGCGTACGAGCGAGCAACAGTGAAACTCGTCAACGTTCGCTGAACATGTCACGTAAGCAGCTCCCACGCCCTCTCCTCTGGCAAACTTTTCATCGTCGCCCACTCCTTTCTCTAGGACTTCCACCCCAACAGTGTTGAGCCCTGCCAGATGGCAAAAGGAAGCAACTCCACAGAGCCGATGAATACGACCGTCTCTCTGGAGATTATGAGTAACCCTGATTCACACAACAAAGGCAGCAATACTGACTCGAGAGCTGTCCGTGCTGCTCGCCGTGCACTTGATGCCGACTTTCAGCGACAGCAAGAGCTTGATGAAGCAGAAGCTATCACAGGTTGGCCCGTTGTTCTTGCGATATCGAATGAATCTGGCCTGACAGTTGATCAGCAAAGCCTCGTGAAGCCAAGACTAGCTTGTACAACAACCCAAATAAGTGTATGGTACTCACGAGATGTCTCCAAAGCCTTCATCGACTATTCTCTATGCTTATCATCTCTGCAGCGTGGAAGTCTGAGAGGCCGAAGAAACGAAAGGGCCAAGATGAGAATCTTCTGGTAGGTGGAGAAAAAGCTACGGAGGATGAAGATGAAGTGGTAGAGGCCCAGCCGGTGAAGCGCAAGAGAGGTCTGAGTCACTTATGTTGATGTTGGTCATGGATGATTTCGATTCTAACACTGTCTGTAGGCTCCAAGACTGCTACAGCTAGAGTTGCCAAGGAAACGAAGTCAGCGCAAGTGACTAACAAGCAGAACAAACAGGGCAAGAAACCGTTCAAAGTGTATAGCATGATGTACTCACATTGGTTGTCTACAACTGTTGTGAAAGACTTCGCGCAGGCAGGGGATTCACGAGTAATCAAGGATAAAATCCAAAAATAATACTACATGTTCTTATATAGCTTATCTACTTGCTAATCTGGTCAGACCAATAAAATGTACCTTAGGAAGCTGAGACTAAGAGGAAGCATAACGAGGGCGCAGAGCCGAGAGTGCTCTGCGCGGGTCATATCTAAAACGGGCATGACAGATCCATATTGGGCATGACGACCTAAGCGCGTCATGTTGGTATCTCTACCGGCGCGGCTGATGCGCATCCGGTGCCTCAGATACTACAACACTCCCCCTCAACGAGCAGTCATGTTCGCGAGGGAGAGCTGCCGGGTGTGAGTAGGGCGAGCGAGCGCCTTGGTAAACATGTCGGCGGCGTTGTCTTCGGAGGCGCAGTGAATGACGGAGATAGTACCGGCGTCGATGAGATCACGGAGGAAATGATGCCAGATGTCGATGTGTTTTGAGCGGGCGTGGAATTGGTGGTCGTGTGCGTATGCGATAGCGGATTGATTGTCCGTGTGAACGGTCGTGGGAGAGTCCGAGGAAGTGCCCAGCTCGTCGAGAAGGCGGCGGAGCCAGACGGCTTTCTTGGCAGCATGCGCAAGGGCGATGTACTCGGCTTCCATCGTGGAAAGGGCGACGGTGGTCTGCTTCTTCGAGCTCCAGCTGACGATGCCGCCGGCGAGCTGGAAAGCATAGCCGGAGACGGAGCGGCGGTCAGCGAGGGACTGGGCCCAATCGGCGTCTGAGTACCCAATCAGACCCTTGATGTCGGGACCGTAAGTGAGACCGAGGGCGGCGGTGCCCTTGAGATAGCGGAGGACATGCTTGACGGCTGTCCAATGCGTGGGAGAGGGGCGCGTGGTGAATCGAGATAGCGTCTGGACGGAGAATGCGATGTCCGGACGGGTGCCAACAGCGGCGTACATAAGGGAGCCGATGGCGGCAGCATAGGGCGCATCAACGGGCGCCTCGCCATCAGAGAGCGGCGCGAGCTTGACATTCGGGTCAAGCGGTGTGGCGACGGGATTGGAGTCCTGCATCCTGAAACGTTCGAGGATGGTCTGGACATAGCGTGTCTGATGGAGGGTGAAAGTGCGGGCAGCGCAGTTGCGATCAATCTGAAGACCGACGAAGGTTCTCAGACCTCCCGAGGAGGTGATAGTGAAATGCTTGGCGATCTTGGCTTTGAGATCGTTGAGTGCCTTGCGCTTTCCGTACAGTGTGGTGTTGTCTACATGGAGTAATGCCATTGTTAGCGACGTGGCAGGTTTGTAGTATACACACGGGTCTGCAGTTGAACGCGTGAAGCCCAGGAGGGAGACCAGGACATGATTTAGCAAATCATTCCAGACGCGGCCGGCCTGTTTCAGGCCGTAAATCGCTTTGATCATGACGTAGATGCGCCCGGAGCTGTCATCGTAGCCGGGCGCTTGGCGCATGTAGATGGGTTCCTCGAGTGTGCCGTTGAGGTAGGCGCCTTCGTAGTCTATGGTGTTGTTGTCCAGATCAGAGACGGTGGCGATAGCGGCGCAAACGCGGTAAGACTCAAGTCGCACGACCGGTGCATAGGTCGCGAAATAATCCTGTCCAGGGATTTGTGAGTAGCCTTGCGCGACAAGACGCGCCTTGTATTTGATGATCGAGCCGTCAGTGTCGCGCTTG